GGTGCAGTCAGGCAGTGGGAACACAGCAGCGAAGTGGCTAACGCCCATCTGCTCAAACACAGACCCGACACTTTCCGTTTCTCTATCTCTCTCACATGCCTACATTAAAAGGCAGAGCACCATGCAAATTCACAGCTTTACATGAAGACCTGGTCTTTTCTCTTCTCTCTCCCTGTGCCTGCGCGAGCTTGATCTCTTCATCTCCCCACACTGAAGTGTCAGCTCACACCGTCCTATCCTCTCAAGGGGGCGCAGGCTACGTGAACCAAATCAAACATGTAAATGTAATGTAAACAATACTGTTGTCCCGGGTCAATGTGAGAACGACCCAGAATCCTCTCTGCAGTCACTGCTGATGTTAGCTCAGTGCTCTCAATCGTGTCTTTTGTTTCCCCATTTGGCATCCCACTGAAAATAAGCCAAATCATTTTTAAAAAAAAAGGAAACAGTGCTACGCTGCCACATACTGAATATGTGATCGAAGTGAAAGTAGGAGAATCAAATAAATAACAAGGTTCTGTCCACAACCCACAGGGTCGACAATCACAAGGAGTTCAGATGAAGCAGAAGAACTTCTTCCAGCTACACCTGGAGAACGCTTTGGTTCGCCTGTCAGAAAACCTCCTCTTCTTGGTTTTACGCGTTTTGTTCTTTATGGCAGCGAAGATGGCGGAGTCAAAGGCCTCCTTTAAGTTCTTCTGCGTGAGTGACGAGCACTCTATGTACTCCGTGGCTCTGATCTTCTCCGCCATGCTCCGGGCCCGGGAGCTCAGAATCGGCTTGACGTTGGATCGGTCCAGGTTGATGAGGACGTTTACGTCCAGCAGCCGGTCGGACTGAGTCCCTACGAGAATGATGGGAGCAGTCGGGTTGTTAGAACGGATCTCTGGTACCCACTTCTTGGTGATGTTGTGAAACGAGGTGGGGTTGACCATGCTGAAGCACAGGAGGAAGACATCCGTGTGGGCGTAGGACATAGCGCGGAATTCATCAAACTCCTCCTGTGTGGAGACAGAGCGAGGGTTAATGCCGATCAAAGTGAGCACCAAGTCTGAGTCACTAAATAAAGATACGCCATTAACATTCAGTTTGAAATCCTGTCAGTGAGTCACACAGTGGGTTAAGCAGGGATGTGACGGTCTGTACTTTCATAGCTCATATCATTAAATTCAAAAGGGTGTCTCATCAGTGGATAATTTGGTATTTTGTGTCAGCCTTAAATGAAACTCTTGATTCAAGTGTAAAGGCATTCATACCTGGCCAGCAGTGTCCACAAGCTGAACTTTGACAGGAGATCCGTCAATTTGGACCTGACCTGTTAAAAACCACATCAGTCAGTCAGTTTACAGTAAACACAGTAACCAATTCAAACATCAGAACATGCAGCTCGTGCACTCTCGTGCCATTCCACTTCCAACATAACTTGCCACTCAATGTAAATCTGTGCTGTCATTAAAAACTAAAAATCATCACTCACCGGAGAACACATCAAAGCCTGTCTGCTTGTACTCTGTCGGATATCCGTTGGAGGTGTAGCTGATGATCATGCTGGTCTTCCCGACGGCTCCGTCTCCGACCAGCATACAGCTGATGACAGCGGGATCGAGCTCATCCTCCCGGGTCAGCCCGCACGCAGATGGGACTCGGGACTCGTGGTAAAAGTAATCCATGTGAGGTGGCATGTCGAGCCGAACATTAAACCTCTGGATGCAAACTCTTCTCCGTCCCGGTCGCAGCGACACTAGATACCGTAGGTTACCTCTCTCTCTGACACATACCACCAGACTGACTGTAGAAGTACGACTGAGGAGCAACATGTGCGGGGTGGGACGTATTTAGGGCAACCACTGTGCTCAGACAGGTTGTGATTTGCATAGACACGCCTACTGACAGAACAATAACAACAGCTTTCTTTCAGCTTTTCTCTCTATTAGATAGATATATAGATTAGCTTGTTTTAATAAAGCCCATATATATTAGACATTCATTGTGGAGAAAATATTATATACAAATTCTTTGCCGTCTGTAAGTTAAAAATGAAAAGTATCCGATACTTAAACAACATGTAAATGACAAAAGCGCTCAGGATTTATTTATATTTCTTCTAAGCGTCTAAATACAATCACTTTTGGACGAACTACGCTCCCTGGTGTTTACAAGGTAGCATTGCAGTCAAAGTGGTCACATGATTCCATGTGTCACCTGATTATCACGGTCTACCCTGCGTTCTGTACGCGGAAGCTAAGTTAGCTGGTGTGAGAAAACGAATGATCGAAATTTCCTCTCTTCGTGTGTTAATGCTGCAGAATAAACGCGTCTGTTGTGCTTTTTTGTTCTTAACTTTACGCACGCGGAGAAAGGAAATACGTTACTGCAGCTTTAACGGGTAAATTTGTGCTAGCTGGCTAGCTACCTGCTAGCAGGTTTTCTTTCCCACCCCATGTTGCTTTAGGGTTGGCTCCTGTCCTGTATTGTTAATCCATTCAATAAGTGAGCTGAGGCACTTTTAACCATGGCTTCAATTCTCGATGAGTACGAGGATTCTCAAAACATCCGGCAAAGTGCGCAGCAGCACAGCCGCCTGTCAAGCACCAACATCGGGATAACCCATTCTGGTAGGTCGCCCTCTTCGTTTTTTTTAAAGCTCCGTGTTAAGATGCAGTGGGAAATATTTGGCTGATACAGACATTTATATTCTCAACGTTAGGCTTTGTCAACGCGAGGCTTGAAGAAGAGAAGCCGATATTCAACAAGCAGAGGATTGATTTCACCCCACCTGAGAAGATAAATCATCTGGCTGTCTGCAACAATCAGCTGTGCATGAGTCTGGGAAAGGACACCTTGCTAAGGCAAATAGCACAATGACATGCAGTTCAAGCGCTCACTGCTGTTTGTATGGCTTTGATTAGTTTCATTAGGTTTTGTTATTTTGTTTTGTAATTTACCGTCATTAACCCATTTTGTAAAAACATGGAGGTGCAGTTTAAAATGTAAATCAAAAGTGTTTTGGATCAGGGACGTGTTTACCACACTGCTGTATTATCTTTCATTTAAACAACGCTCTGCCAGTGTGGGAGAGGAGCTGATGCTGTTGGGAAATCAACTGTCAATCAATCATCTGTGCTCGGCATTGAATTTCATCTGCTTACAGCAGCTCATGGACTTCTCGTTTGAAAAGTGTTTTTAATCTCCCACACACTGTCACTACACAGCTATGCCCGTGGAATATGTGAACAATGACGTATGGCATGCTTAGCATCGTCTTCCTGAAAGAAGTAAGGCCTAAGTTTAGAAGATATTGTATGGTTAATATGTTGGACCCTAAACTGAATGTCTCTCTGCAACAGCCCAGAGATAGACTGGTCACCTGTCCAAAGTCTGCTCCATCATTTGCCCTGTGACAGCCAGAATAGGCCCCAGTCCGATCACAACTGTGAATTGGATATGCAGAAGAAAATAGATGGCTAGAGCATTTCTGTTTTTTTCAGACCTCAAATTCACAATGGGCACAATCTTCCTAGTTTTAAACATTTGTCAGGTTGTGTTTACGCTTGCTTTAGTTTAGCTGTGTTCTGTTTTTATTCACATTTTTACACAGCGTTCTAACTTTGTTGTTAAGACAGTTGTATTATTCAGCTCATCTGTCTCAAGATATTGTACTAAGGTTTTCCATTTTATTGTTCTTTTGTGTAGGATTGACTTAGCAAAACCAGATCAACCCAACCAGACTGAATTAGGAAGGAAAGATGACAGTAAAGTGCACAGACTGTTCCTGGACCCAACAGGTGAGATAAACCATAATAGTTTTCAAAATATTGTTTATACATCATAAATGCACTGCTAATTACTATCGAACATTCTGCAAGACAGTGCTATGTTATGTTGTTATAGATTATGCAGAGATTATATATTGTTGTATAATTGGAGAAGTAATTGATTTTGATTAGTCATTGTGTATTTTTGAGGTGATTCAGCATTCATACATAAGTGTTGTAATATTACCAGCCACAAACCTCAATGCACAGCAAGTCTGAACTTGGATAAAGACAACAGTTCCATATGATAAAACAATTAGACAAAAATGTCTGGCAGTGCATCAATCTATAAATCATCATCATCATATATAAATGCTATGTCACAGTTATGACTGCTTAACAACAGCTATAACCTCCTCCATATTTTCCCGTTACAGGCTCCCATCTGCTGATCAGCTTGAACACCAGTGAGTGTCTGTACCTCAACAGGAACACCCAGAAGGTGCGCAGTTTGTCCCGCTGGAGAGGCCACCTCATCGAGAGTGTGGGCTGGAACAAGCTGCTGGGCAACGAGACCAGCACAGGACCCATCCTGGTCGGCACGAGTCAAGGCATCATTTTTGAGGCAGAGATCTCTGCGAATGAGGGCAGCTTGTTTAACACCAATCCAGATCAATACTTTAGACAGGTGAGAAAGTGATTACGTCTGCTATTTAGCACACGATAGCCACATCTGCTTTGTACGTTTTAACTGTTCAAACTGTATTATAAGCATATACATTTAATGCACTTGTGGAAACAGAAGAAAATCCTGATGTAGTTCATTTCTTCCTCTTGATATAATTGATAACATCCTGATGTAGGTTCACTCTGTGGAGGAGGACGGCAAACCTGCTCCAGTCTGCTGTTTGGAGGTCGAGCGGGGCCTGGAGAACAAGTACTTTATCATAGCTACCACACGCAAACGCCTGTTCCAGTTTGTGGGTAAGGTAGCCGAGGGGTCGGAGCAGCAAGGCTTCAGTTCCATTTTCAATCAAAATCAGGACTTGCTGCCCAGTTTCCAGGAGTTCCCAGTCAATATGGGACACAGCGAGATCACCTTCTACACCCCTAAGCTGCGAACGTCCCCCAAGGCGTTCGCCTGGATGATGGGTAATGGAGTTCTTTATGGTCAGCTCGACTACGTCAGGCCTGATTCCCTGCTGAGTGATGTGCAGGTAAATGTCAGTCAGCGTGTGTGAAAACTTTTTAACATTTTTCTTAGTAATATCTCATCCTTGCTGTCTTTATGTGTCATATACTATCTCCACATCTCCTCTTTCACAAACAGGTGTGGGAATACACTCCAGACATTGACCTTGATCAAAACAAGCCTATCTCCATTGTGCTGACACAGTTCCACTTCCTGCTCCTGCTTCACGACCGAGTTAAGGCCATCTGCACTCTGAACGGGCAAGTGGTTTACGAGGACTTGTTCCCAGATAAATTTGGCAGCCTCAAGAAAATGATCAAAGACCCAGTTGGCGGGTTGGTGTGGATCTACACTGAGCGGGCAGTTTTTCGATATCACATCCAGCGGGAGTCCAGGGATGTCTGGCAGATGTACATGAGCATGAATAAATTTGATCTGGCCAAGGAGTACTGTCGCGATCGGCCTGAGTGTATGGACATGGTGCTGGCAAAGGAGGCTGAGCACTGTTTCCAGAATAAACGCTATCTGGAGAGCGCCATGTGCTACGCACAAACACAGAACTATTTTGAAGAGATTGCTCTCAAGTTCATAGAAGCCAAACAAGAGGAGGCCTTAAAGGAGTTCTTACTGAAGAAGCTAAACAATCTCAAACCCAGTGAGAGAACTCAGATCACCTTGTTGGTCACCTGGTTAGCTGAGCTCTACTTGAATCGCCTCGGCCAGCTGGAGAGTGACGGCAACAGCGTCATTTTCAAAGAAACCCGTGACGAGTTTCGTCAGTTCCTTGGCAGCTCCAAGCACAGAGACTGCCTGTACAACAACCGCACCACCATCTACGACCTGCTGGCCAGCCACGGCAACGTGGACGACATGGTTTACTTCTCAGTCGTCATGCAGGACTACGAGAGAGTGATATCCCACTACTGCCAGCACGACGAGTACAGCGCCGCTCTGGATGTGCTCTCCAAGCACTGTGACGAAAAGCTTTTTTACAAGTTCTCCCCGGTGCTCATGCAGCACATTCCCAAAAACGTGGTGGACGCGTGGATTCAGATGGGCAAGAGGCTGGACCCAAAGAAGCTCATCCCAGCTCTGATGAACTACAGCCAGATGGGCAGCACGCAGCAGATCAATGAGACCATCCGCTACATGGAGTTCTGCGTTTATGAGCTGATGGTAACAGAGGAGGCCATCCATAACTACTTGCTGTCGCTTTATGCAAAGTACAAACCAGACTCTCTGCTGTGGTATCTAGAGCAGGCAGGCACACACGCCTCAGAGATCCACTACGATCTCAAGTATGCTCTCAGGCTGTGTGCGGAGCATGGCTACAGGCAGGCCTGTGTGCTGGTTTATAGGATTATGGAACTGTATGAGGAGGCAGTGGATCTTGCTTTAGAAGTAAGTAATGTATATTAATGGATCAGCAGTGCTCGTAAAGAAGCGGTGAACATATGTAGATCATTGAAATGTTGTGTCACTTTTTTTCTTTTTTCCAGATGATCAAAATTATAGACAGCAGTTGGCGATTTCAATTGTCGCACTGTTTTTTGTCGTTTTTTTAATTGTCCGCAGGTAGACGTGGACTTGGCCAAGTCCTGCGCTGACCTCCCAGAGGATGATGAGGAGTTGAGGAAAAAGCTTTGGCTGAAAATCGCCAAGCATGTGGTGCAGAAGGAGGAAGATGTTAAGAAAGCCATGAACTGTCTGTCCAGCTGCAACCTGCTCAAAATTGAAGACATCCTTCCTTTCTTTCCAGACTTTGTCACCATCGACCACTTTAAGGTCTGTAATAAGTAGGATGTTCTTTCCTGTCTTTTTTTCCCCCTCAGTGTGTGTGTTTTTACAGTAAATTGAGCGGTCGGGTGAGACCTGATCTCAGTAATCACATTCTGTGTATTCATAAGTAGAATCTTTAAGCAGTGGGCAAGGTTTTAGGCAGTTTTTTCTTTCTATTTGTAGTAGGTGATGAGTATCCAGATGGGGTGATACTGGCTGGCATCTGCATTCACAAAGACACAAAATAGTGTACTATTTCAAATGAAGGTTCTTAATGCTCTGTTCATCATGGTTTCTCAGGAGGCCATCTGCCTTTCCCTGGAGGAGTACAACCAGCACATTGAAGAGCTGAAGCAGGAAATGGAAGAGGCCACAGAGAGCGCAAAACGTATTAGGGAAGACATACAGGAAATGAGGAACAAGTATGGTGTAGTGGATTCCCAAGAAAAGTGTGCTGCTTGTGACTTCCCATTGCTCAACAGGCCCTTCTATCTGTTCCTCTGTGGGCACATGTTCCACAATGACTGCCTGTTGCAGGTAACTTGCTGCACACAGGAATATTTCACTTTTTATTTAATTCAGTCAGTAATCAATCTGGAAATTATCGACTCTGAATATGTCCTCTGACCTTTTTTTTTTTCTCCTTCTACGTTTTTTTTAGGAAGTGACTCCTCATTTGTCGGCCTTCAAGCAGAATCGCCTGGAGGATCTTCATAAAAAGCTGGCAGCAACCACACAATCGTCCAAATCGCGCCACCGTCCAGCACCAAAGGATGAGGGTGACACGTCAAGCTTGGGCAAGGCCACTGCGGGCACAAGCCGTGAGCAGATAAAATCGGACATTGATGACATCGTCGCATCCGAGTGCGTATACTGCGGCGAACTGATGATCAAATCTATCGACAAGCCTTTCATCGATCCGCAGAAATTTGAGGAGGAGAAATCCAGCTGGCTGTGAACAAAGACTTTTTTTCTCTTCGTTACAAACTCACTATATGTCAGCGAAAGTGGATGATCCACAGGACAGACACATTAAGCGGAGACATGCCGATATCCTGTTGGTAGTGCCTACTGCTGAACACTTAATCAGCTTCTGTCCTCTAGAAACTGCACTTGTTTTGTTGTCAGTATTTGAAACTGAACATTTGCACTGTAGTGAAGAACATAGAGAAGACATAAACCAACCTGATCTATGCTTGTGCTAGAGTTGTATACTGCATACATGTGCCTAAACCTCAGATTATATATAAGGATACAACTGCTTTACACTCATTTCTAGCTGTTAACTGCATTATGTTGTGTATTTGTTTGATTCAGTGAAAACACAAAATGCACTAACAAAATATCTGCTTGTCCTAAGCTTGGTTTGTTCTCTCCAATTAATGCATCTGTGTTCATCTAAACATTATATAACATATAGGCTGTTTTTGAGTTCAGCTATGGCACAGTACAGCTTCTCAGTTATGACAGTTTTTTTTTTTTTTTGACTTGGCTTAAATGTAAAAAATATTTAACAAATCATTATATATGTTTACTGTGAAAAATGAAAAGCCCTGTGCTTCATCAAAGTTTCTCAAGATTGCAGTTGACTACTAACAGCCCAGTAAGTTAAAGGAAGATGAGAAAAGAGCAGCATAAGTGAAAAAGATGCAACTGGTGATTTTGTGTAAACTGCATTTTAACAGGAAGATCTGAGTTTAAGTGATTGCAAATACACGTGTCATTGTTGGGATCGCTGCCTGCCAGTTTTTGGAAGTTTTTCTTTTCTTTTAAGTTACAATTGTCAGGATCAAGATTTGAGAGGCTGACAACTGGTACTATAATCCAAACACAGGTGACAGGAAGCTAATGTGCCTACAGTGGTGGACTTGCCATGTTCAATAAACAGATGTGCAAGAATTTTCCTGTATATTTAATTTTATTGTTGCAAAAAACTAATTATTGTTTCTGTTAGTTTTAATTTCTTCGAAGTCTAATTCTTATTTTTATTTCAGTTTACAGAAATAATTGGTTTATAAGTAACTTCAATTCTTAGTTTTAATTATAATAACCTTGCTACCAACTCCATGAGCCTGTAGTCATTATATAATTCAGTCATTATCAGCGACTATAACTGGTAAGTTAGACTATAAAATATGTTTTTCGTTGTTTTTGTTGTCCTCCGAGAATCTTAAGCCAATTACTTACTCACATTTTTTCAAAATTTTGTGACGGTGTCCACTTTACCTAAAACGGAGTTCCCTTCTAGTGACGTAAGACGTAGCTCGGTAATCTTCGCAGCCAGCAGACACGATCAATCAACATCGGAAATTCATCGATACATTTACGTTAGTTGCAAAGACACGTTCCAAACCCGAAGGCATGATAGCGCTATCTCGTATTTTATTAGCGAAATATACAGGTGAAAATTTTGTCATGGTCATGTCCTAGGAGACGTGGATAGGTTGGCGTCCTTCTCTCTGGGATTGATTAAAATGCCTGCTCCTTGCTGTACCTTCGCCATGGCGTCGTGTCTCTGCTCTCTCAGTAACAGAAAGTGGCCGCCTCTCCGCTGTTGCTGCCGACTCAAAGCTCACAGACTCGCTCGGCATCTCAAACCGCCATTTTGGAGTCAGAGAACCGAGAGTCGGCAGCAGCGACGAGAGAGACTGAAAGGCGGACACGGGGCCGAGGTGAGAGACTCTGCGGTGGTTGTTATGGCGAAGGAGCAATGGGGAAGATGGCCGGGAGGGAGAAAGAATTAAAAGATGGGGATCATGCGTGCGCCAAGCAACCGAGCCGCGGCTCGTATCCGAAACGAGGGTCCAAGAGGCGCGGGCGGAGGCCCTAGCTGTCGCTGCATGGTGACAGCAAGCAAGCTAAAGAGTTGTCATTAAACCGATTTCATATCTTAATACATTGTTTAGGCAGGGAGGTGGTGGCCTTAAAGAGACAGGGCCGATTTAAATACTTCATATTAATGGTGTGAGAGGACGAAGGTGTCAAAACGCCTTAGTATTTGATAAGCTAACTAGCTAACGTTAATGATACGCTAAGTTACAAAGATAGCAAGGAGAGGCTAGCTATAGTAAAACTACCTGTGCTACCTAATTGAACTGGCGTGGGCAAAGCCGTCAGTGAGCGTCTGTAGCAGCACATTGAGCCTCTTTACTGTCACTGATCCGAGGCAATGCTGCTTTTGCTGACAGCTAACGGTCGTTAGCTTTGAAGCTACAGTATTGCTGAAGGTTAGCTAGCAAGCCCTGGCTAACACTAGCTTGGTTTTGCTATCCACCAAAGCACAACGTAACGACGTGATAGCAATGCTATTTAAAAAAGTATTTATTTTTAAACTTTAGTCCCTTGCAGCCTGCTACATTTGAGGAAATGAGCTCACAGAAAGTCAAGTGAATAAATACCATAGTGTTGTTTATGGGTATTGTTGTGGACAGCTGAGTTAACTTTAGCATGGAAACTCTCAAAACAACCACCTGACTCTTCATAAGGACCTAATGCATAATAACACTTAATTAATTACACTATGCCTAAAGTTTAATTTTATTTTTTAATAAACTGCAAGGACTGAAAATGATTACCAAGATTACTTACACACACTATCGAACATAATATATGGCTGATTATAACGTATCATAACTTATTTTTTATTGAAGATAAACTAAAATAAATTCTCAAAATTGAGTTCAAAGCACAATTTACTGTACGACGTATTTATACTGAAACATGGGAGCAAATAATTTTTACTTTAAACGCATAGAGATGTTCAAATAAACTAACTTTTCCTTTGTCATTTTGAAATCACGTGCATAAACACTGTTAGTACAGCACTGTAAAATGAGCTTCTAATAAAAGCTTTTGTTTTTGCCATTTAATTGTCAGTGTGTGACTGCATTTCTTATTTTGTAGGCTTTTCATCTTGATCATTAGTGTTGGAATCGAAAATCAATGGCATCCATTATTGAGAAGGTATGTCCATTAAAAAAAATAAAATAATAGAATAAACATTTTGTAGAATGGACAGTATCATACTTCATATCTGTGCATTTGGAGGCAAGTATTTTGTCTTTGGTGTAAGTGCCTTTTTTCTGACCTTGACAAAAAAAATGTAGGCAGTAATTATGAAATCATTATGAAAACATACTAGGAGATTATCTCCCATTATACCAGATTAGCTGAGAAAATGAAGCAATGTACAGTTCCTTTTAGTCTGGACCATTTTTACTCTTTAGGTGAACACTTTAGGTGCATAACATTAAAATGTTTTTCTTCACATAGCTGTAACTTTCCTGTACTGCTCATTCTTACCTTGTGCCGTTTGCACATCTATTTCTTCCACACTTCTCTCTTCAGTAAAAGGTCCTGCCCTGCTGGGCAGAGGTGGTCTGTGGTGTATGGCGTCAGGGCAGGGTGGCCAGCTGGAGGTTGGGGTATCAGGGGCCTCCAACCTAGCCAAACCTCTCTACCTGCAGCGCTTAGAAAGATCCCTGAAGTTGGACAGTTTTTTGCGTCAAACCGCTGCTATCTTCAACAGAGACATAACCAGGTACAGAAAAAGAGGTGCTGATAGTGGGCATTCACTTGTTGCTTCCAGGCTAAGGTTTGTTTTGGCCACCTATAAAAAAAAAACCAAAGTGTTTTGCAGCAATCTTCCCATCTTATAAAAATGAAACTGTATGTTGTGTGTGTGTGTGTGTGTGTGTGTATATATATATATATATATATATATATGTTTTGCATGGCTGATTGCACCTCTTGTCATCTGCTTTACATTACACTGTCTAAGAAGAGAACAGATAATATACAAATAGGATGCAAATGTTGAGCTTACGGCCATACATTTCTCTTGTAGTGATGATAGCGATGACAGCGAGGGTGGACTGGAGCCAGGGATCTCCCTGGATGCCACCACTCATGATACGGCTTTGACAATAAAGAATGAGTCGTGTGATCAAGGAGATGGATTGGCAGATGGCAAGCCGCTTAATGGAGTACTTGTGCAAGGTAAAGGTAAGATGTATTGAGAAATGTGTTAGTGACATGTTGCTACACATCCACACTCATTGGTTTAATGAATCTTTTCATGCATATTTATCCTGTGTTGTTTCTTTTTTTTGTTTGTTTCACAGACCAAAAGGCAAATAAAACAAGCCTTTACAATTTTTCTAAGCTGAAGAAGAACAGGAAATGGCTGAAGGTATTTACACTGGCTAATACTGACCTCCATATTTGAAGAATTTTAGTTTTATATCTACCTCCTTTCTCATAGGGTACGTTTGTGTGTGACATGTTCTCAGCTTCCTGTAACCATGCCTGTACTTACTTTTTTTCTCATGTAGAGTATCTTGTTGAGTGATGACACCACAGACTCAGATACAGACTCAGATGACGCTAACTTCAGCATGTCTCGGGAAGAACTACATGACATGCTGAGGCTCCATCGTTACACGAGGCAGCATCAGAGCAACTTCTACTCTGACCGGGAGGTACAAATACACACATAAATAAAGAACACTAATTGCTAATACTTTGTGTCAATTTAATGTCATTGTAATAATAAGCTTCTTAATTAAGTTCTTAATTAATAAGTTCTACAAAACAAAAGGAGCAAATAACACTGCTTGTGCTTGATTCATAGTGGTTTCTCATAATTTCTTCTGGTTTAGCGTCATTTAGCTGTCGAAATGTGTTGGAAATCCCCTCTCAGAGAGTCAGAACATAATGCAGGATGTAGCTGTGGTGCCAGAACAGGTGGTGAAATATATAATTGGGTGAAATCAATGGCATGGCCATGCATAATTTGCCTCAGGGATAATATATAAGAAGCAAATAAGTGGGGACTCAAAATAGTACCTTGGGGAACCCCACTAAATAAAGAAGTACAGGACAAGACATTTACTTTAAAAAAAATGAAAATCAGCCAATTCAGAGCCTCATCACCTACAACAAAGTTCTTCAGACATATTAATTAAGATGTATCATGCTCCTCTGTGTGTTTGTGTTTGCTCAGCTTCACCAATATCAGTACTACAGCACAGGACTCTTATCTACTCATGATCCCTTCTATGAGCAACAACGCCATCTGCTGGGTCCAAAGAAAAAGAAAATCAAAGATGAGAAGAAATTTAAGGGTAAGAAGAAAAAAGGCATGCCAGTGTCAGTGCCTTTAAGGAAAACAAAAACAAACAAGAAAAACACATTTTAAAACCGCAAACAAGATCTACCTGTTCATTTAAATGTCTTTCCTTTTTTTTGTAGCCAAACTAAAAAAAGTAAAGAAGAAGAAGAAACGGGGAGAGGGAGAATTTGTGGATGAGGAGCGTCCCTTCGTCACCAAAATATTTGCTAAGTTTTCCCATGATGCTCCGCTGCCCATGGTGAAGAAAAAACATCTCACCGTCGAGCAGCTGAATGCTCGCCGACGCAAAGTCTGGCTCACCATTGCCAAAAAAGAAATCCCCAAGGTTAGTTAAGCAAAGAGTCAGTTTTGTTTTGATGTTGGTCCCAATTTTCCAACATTTTCTAATGCCAACTGTCCCATTTCTACTTTTTTTCAGTCCTTCAAGCAGAAGACTTCTGCTAAGAATCTGGTATTAACCAATGCAAAAAAGGTGAGTAAAGTGTACACAGCACTGTATGGTTAGGTACATTTAAAGCATTTTGTTAAATGTTTTTGGTTTTGCACACATGTGTTCAGCGTGTTGGTAACTCTCCATGTCTGTATATTGCAAAAGTAACTTTTAACGTGTGATTCATGTCCTCTTAGCTGGCTCACCAGTGCATGCGAGAGGTCCGGCGTGCAGCTATTCAGGCTCAGAAGAACTGTAAAGAAACATTACCCCGTGCCCGGCGTCTTACCAAGGAGATGATGCTCTACTGGAAAAAATATGACAAGGTGGAAAAGGAGCACAGAAAGAGAGCCGAGAAGGAAGCCCTGGAGCAACGTAAACTCGATGAAGAAATGAGAGAGGTCTGTGACAAGGAAGTTATTATGGAGACATTTTTAATTTGCCATTACAGGTTTTTTGAAAATCCTAAATATAGATACATTTTTCTCCCTGGGTTTTTTTTTTTTTTTTTTTTTTGACTCTCTCAGGCCAAGCGTCAGCAGCGCAAACTGAATTTTCTCATTACCCAGACGGAGCTGTATGCTCATTTTATGAGTGGTAAAGCTAGCGTGGGGGCTCCAGGTGGAGATGCGGCACAGGAGGAAATTCTGAGAAAACTTGAAGACACTGCAGCCCAGAGACAGATAGACATTGGAGGAGGAGTAATGGTCAACATGGGACAAGAGGACTATGGTATGAACGACTCAATCGAGTTTAATGTATTACAGAAGAAATTAGTAGTCATCGTTGATGGCTGAAATTTATATATATATATATATTGACTCCCTTCATCAACTATAACAGTGTGAAATTAAATGGGACGAAGCTCATTTCTGTTTGTTTCCTGTCTAATCTTCTACTTGTAGATTAGATTTTCTTTTCTTCCTCTACAATGGTAAAACAAAAGTACACTCTCCATCTATTCACAAGCATGATAAAAATGATCTAGTCCTCAGTAGGTCTTAAAATTAACCTCAAATGAACCGAAGCACATGATGTGTTACACTGTGTCATTATGTATTTAACAAAACCTAAGTCAAAATGCAAAAGCGTTGTGTGGAAAAGTAAGAACACCCTTCATTCAGGATCTTGTAGAACCGCCCTTAGTAGCAATAACTTAGTGAAGGAACGAGTGACTTCATCAGTCTCTCATGTCACTGTGGAATGATTTTGGTCCAGTCTTCTTTATGGATCATTTAGATTTGTAGGTATTCTATCACAGCATTTGGGTCATGGTTAGGCCTGGCCTTTGACTCGGCTATTGCAACACCGTGATTCTTTTCTTTTTCATTCATTCTGTCATAAATTTGTCGCTGTGCTTGTGATCAGTGTCATGTTGCGTGACTCAGTTTGGGCCAGGTTTTAGCTGTTGGACTGATGGCCTAATATTTGACTCTAGAATACTTTGACATACAGCTTGCAGTCATTGAGTCATGGTTGACTCAATGACTGCAAGGTGCCCAGGTCCTGTCACTGTAGAGCAAACCCAAATCATCACCGTTGCACGAGTCTTTTTCTAATTGTACTGTCACAAATGTTAACATTTGGCATACTAACTGAGGCCTGCAGGGCCTGAGATATAGGTCTTGGGTCTGGCGTTGGGGTGAATTAACACATTAAGTTAACACACACACACTCCAGGCCAGCAAACTCCCAAAATGTCTGCTGTTGAACACGTGCTGATGATCAGGTAAACAAGTGCATTTGCTTAGCAGCAGCAGCTGACTGCTGCTTCTCCTGCTAATTCATGGGGAAGCAGTAAGTATGTACTTATTTTTTTTTACTCAATTTGTCTGCATTTTGCTTTTTCGGTAAATAGATAACGACAGTGTAACATGTCGTGTTTTGTACATTTGCAAGATTTTAAGGCAAAAACGTTAAAATTTAAAGAGTGTGTACTTTGTTTTTATCATGATTGCTGTCATTATACCGTTTACTAATGATGATAATTTGCAGTTCATTTGATTAAGTATAAAGAATTGTGGTAATACATTAGTAAGAATTTCAGTTTAGACTAGCTGTGTTTTGACTATATACTCTGTCAGAAGAAATATTACATTTAAATGGTTTGCAATGCATTTATGCACAAGATGATGGTATGTGATTGCAGATAGCGAATACTACAAATCCCAGGCTTTGAGGAATGCCCAAGAGGCCTACCAGATTCATCAGGAGAGAGTGAGTAATTCACGCACATCCTTTATTAGATGCCCTAATTCACACAGCGCAACTGGCGGTAATGTCCAAATCTCCTCCTTTAGACGCGAATGTTCGATGAAGAGGCTAAAGACAGTCGCAGTGCATCCCTGCATGCAGCTGGCAGCTTGTCCACAGGAGCCGGCTCTGGGTTCGGAGAAAGCTACAGCCTTTCAAACCCATCCATCCGTGCAGATGAAGACATTCCTCAGCCCACCATCTTCAACGGAAAACTCAAGGGCTACCAACTCAAAGGCATGAACTGGCTGGCTAACCTTTATGAACAGGTACACGTGTCTTATTTTATTTATTTTTATTGTTTTTTTCTGACTTATGCTGCGCTTTTCTGAAACTCTCAGTATTCCTTTAGTTTGTTTTCATTACTATGAATTGGCCAGTTTTTAATGGCCAACAGTATAAAAGAAATCTTTATTAGTGTTTTGGTTAAGAAAATTTATGAATCTCTAGTGTAACAGCACTAACATGATTCAGGGTTCGTTAGCATTGTTTTTGGTCAACATGTGTACAGTTTTAGGATGTTTTCTAATATTTTTTTTTCCTCCCCACTGAGTGATTTAATTCTTCTTCCCTTTTCTCTTTTGCTCTTCATTTCCACAGGGAATCAATGGAATCTTGGCAGATGAAATGGGACTGGGAAAGACGGTTCAGAGTATCGCTTTGTTGGCACACTTAGCAGAGGTGAGAGAGAGGACGGGGGGCCAAAAGGTTTCATTCACCACACTCTTCCAAAACACTTTGCGGAATATTCAGTTGACTCCACCATTGTTTTCGACTTGCGATAAAACATCTAAAAGGCAGCCTATTTGCACCTGCATCCTTTAAAGGGTCCCCAGTTTCTGGCTTTTTGCAGGTGCTGGAACATTTCAATGAATTAGTCATATGACTTCACTCCTCTGAAGAGCTGATTTGCCAGCTCTTTACATTTTTTAGTCTCACAACCCCAAAGGCCAAAAAAAAAAAAAAAAAGGTGGAAATGCGAGCTTTTCAGTCAACTGTCGTTGGCAGGAAGGTGCATGCTGTGGGCTTCACAGGCCCTCCAGGACTTCCTGTTTTCTGGGTGCTGCTCACACAAGCACAGCAGACCACCTGTTGCGGTGGTTGACATTGTATTTGCTTTTCTGTTCCTGCAACAGAGAGATAACATCTGGGGTCCATTCCTGATCATCTCTCCAGCGTCCACACTCAACAACTGGCATCAGGAGTTCACCCGCTTTGTGCCAAAATTCAAGGTGAGAACCCATCGTGGCGAGCACACACACACTGAAACATCTGCAGAAGCACGTCCAAAGGAACTGCTGATTCATCATTTCTGTTGTTCTGCCGCCAATGCATTTCTCTCTCCGCTTCTTAATGCAGTGGTTTGTTAGTTTTGACATTCTGAGAGCAAGCGCAGGGTTACCAGATGAAATGTTATCTAGAGCTGTCCATTAGGGGGCAGTATTGTAGCACTTTTCGCATTGACACATAACTACATAGCTGTTTTTATTTTTGTTGAGTGGTACTTCTCAAAAAAATCATTTTGCATGCCATAACTGGCTCTTGAAAGACTGTGCGTAGCCAAAATATTATCAAATGCATCAATATGTCAGCTATGCTTGAACACACACACACACAGTCAGTCAGTGATAAACATGACTCTTTGTTGTGTACGACATTCAGCTTTGCCCATTTTCTCAGCCAGTTTGGAAATAAATCAATTGCAGTTTGTTTTGCTAATGAGGTGTGAAAAGACCCCATTACACAATTTGAAGATAAGCTTCCTGAACATTCAAAGCAAGACTGACTGAAAACAATGGGAAAGCGGCTTGCGTTGAGCGACGTAATGATGTGTAAATCTTTTCACATCGCATTTTATATCTCAACAAGTGGGGCAGTGGTTCATGTGCGATGTTATGCCTAGACATTTTCTCTGAGAACATCACTGTGGCTCTGTTTTTCCAGCATTGCTCAGTCTTAACTGTAGGGTTTTGTTTTTTTTATTCTTTTTTTTTATTAAACATGTTCACATGGGGATTATTTTGATCTATGAAGGTTTTCTGACAGAACAGTGTTACTGATATGTCCCATAGGTGTTACCGTACTGGGGAAATCCTCACGATCGGAAAGTGATTCGGAAATTTTGGAGCCAGGTAAACATTGAAGGATACATCACCGTACATTTTGCAGCCAGTAAACTCAGCACTTTTTAATCCTTTTAACTCTTAACGCTGTGTTTTGTCACACAGAAAACCCTTTACACGCAAAATGCACCGTTCCACGTGGTCATCACGAGCTACCAGCTGGTGGTCCAAGATGTCAAGTACTTTCAGAGGGTCAAGTGGCAGTACATGGTTCTAGATGAAGCCCAGGCACTGAAAAGCAGCACAAGGTAAAGTGTTATCATGGTGGCATTTATATTTCTGATCACAGGGTCAAAGGTTCATGTGTCGATGCGTGATATCTGATTTATCAGACTTTGTATTTAAAGATTTTATCTTACCCTTCTTTGGCAATTCAATAACTAGCCTGAGCATACAAACATTATTAAGATGTTTTAAATGCAGACCGGCCTTTTAACAACTTTACTAACCAATTATAATGTCATTCTGGCCAAAACACAAGTGTTGTAAAATAAATGACTCTTTTCTAGTCCCAGCAGTTCTAACTTGCACAGAATGCTGTGGCCATTTGTAAGTTTTCTTGTTTTTTGTCTTAACAAATAAAGCCCTGCGTGCTTTGGATAAGTGTCTTGAGAAATGCAAGTGAAAAAAGTTTGTAATAAATCAGCTAAAATATGCAGAACGAGGGAAACTGTTCTTTAAATCATTTGGTAAATCAACAAAAATGTCTGGAAAAATAAAGTAATCGGTCTCTACGGTTTCACTAGTATGTGTCATTTCTCGGCTCCTACTGGAGACCAGCCAAAATCAATAGACTGGCCAAACGTACAGCTACACACAAGAGATAATCCCAAAAAATGTAGTACATCCAGTGATTACATTAAATGAAGTGTTAAATGCAGATGATAAACATCTGTAGCTGTCACAGCAGGTGACGGTCCTGGTTTCTGTGCTTTTTCAGCGTTCGGTGGAAAATCCTCCTGCAGTTCCAGTGTCGGAACAGACTTCTGCTAACCGGGACGCCCATTCAGAACACAATGGCTGAGGTGAGCGACGTGTGTGTGTGTGCGCGTGTGTGTGTGCGTGTGTGTGTGTGTGTGTTGGCAAGTGTGTGGTCATCTGGGCAGAACTGTAAGAGACTGCATGTTTTCCTCTCAGCTGTGGGCCCTGCTGCATTTCATCATGCCTACGTTGTTCGATTCCCATGAAGAGTTTAACGAGTGGTTCTCCAAGGACATAGAGAGCCACGCTGAAAACAAGTCTGCCATCGATGAGAGTGAGTACAGCAAAGGCTACTATTTTTCCCCC